TCATCGTAACCGACTTGATTGGGCAAATTGAGTAGCACTTTGGAGAGGTGTTCTCTTCACAGATGAATCCTGGTTTTCACTGTCCATGGCAGATGGCAGACAGCCTGTATGGCGTTGTGTGAGTACACAATTTCTGGAAGCTGAAAACATTCCAGTTCTTGCATGGCCAGCATACTCACCGGACATGTCACCCATTGAGCATGTTTGGGATGCCCTGGATCGGCGGATCTGACAGCGTGTTCCAGGTCCTGCCAAAATCCAGCAACTTTGCACAGCCTGAAATGAATCGGAGTAGACCAACACTCCACAGGCCACAATCAACAACCTGATCAACTCTATGCGAAGGAGATGTTGCGTTTATAATTTTGTTTAGTGTATGATCATTTGATGCATTCTGCACTAATCAGTAGCGATGGAGGAAATGAGCAACCCCGTTATAATGTAGTGTAATAATACGGCATAAAACATTAATCTTACCATGTGAAAAAGCAACAAAACTTAAATATTGAGGAGTTCAATATCAACAATCAATGAACAGAGAAGTGAACAAATGCATAAATGATGAATACATTTATAAACACAGCAAAAACAAAATACTATATCTACAACAGATTGTAATAACTGTAAGGACAAGTTTGAATTGCAGAACTTTGGCATTATACTATTTCATATGTTGACCATACAAAAATTTCACCTCTTTGAATCAATAAAGGCTTATATTAAACAAACAATAAGGGAAAAAACATTTAAATTTGAGCTTTTAAAGGTTACAGTAGATTATATTGTTCCCAGAGGTCATGAATGAAGCTCCACGCTCAAAATACAGATGTTTCTAAAAATCCATTTAGCTGCTTCATAATTTTCACATGATGGCAAGAGGACTTCATTTCTATTCATCTAATCACTGGAAACCAGGTTGTTGTTTTTTAAGACAAACAATTATTTCAAATGCATGCTGATGTGATAAAAATCAGTGTGTGTGTGTATCTTGCTTGTTGTTTGTTTTAGAGCGTCTGAGTGGCGAAGTGTGTTCAGGTCAGCCAATGTTCATTGGAAACCACAGCTCTGTTTTACGAGCATGGTGAGGGGGGGTCCAAGCTGTAAATCCACTTCCCAGAATTCCCTTTTGTCTGACGTGCCACCAAGCAGGACTTATTAACACTCCAGGGGTGAATGGTGATGAGTGGGTTACTGTAGCAACAGCGGTGTGTGTGTGTGTGTGTGTGTGTGTGTGTGTGAGAGGGTTTCAGGGAGGAGTGGGGGCAGCGAAGAAAAAGTTGCATAGTTTGTTTGTCAAAGTGTGAAGAGAAGGTTTCGTGACCTGCGAGCGCTCAGCAAACATCGGATTCAGCAGAACTGGATGTCGAGTGTGTAGACACTCAAATATTTCCTGTTTTTTTCTTAATTTTACTCATTGAAAGACAGATTTTTGACTTTTCAGAGAAAATATACTTAAAGTACAAAAAGTAAAAGTACTCAATATGCAGAATGGCCAGTTCAGAATAATATATTATAATTATAATTTAAAAGTGTCAAATAAATGTAGTGGGAGTAAAAAGTGCAAAATTAAATGTACTTAATTACTTTCCCCCACTTCATTTCATAAAAAATTCAGCCAGATATATTTGGTATATTTTGAAAAGGTCGACCGATATGGTTTTTTTCACGCCGATGCCGATACCGATCTTTTGAAATCCGGGTCGGACGATGGCCGATTAATGCTGCCGATTTAATTTGCTTGGTTTTTAACCTCTATTTGAAAGATAAAATGTAAAAGAAATGATAATTACTTAACATAGACAAACTTTCTCAACAAAAACATTTATTGAACACTTGAACAATGAACAATCTGCATTCTGCACTTATAAATTAAAAATGTATAATGTAAAAAAACATATATAAATAAATTGTATAAATGTAAAAAAATATATTAAATAAACAAAACGGGTAAGAAGAAAATAAACTGTCAAATATACTTTTCAATGAAAAAATAAATAAAGTTTAAAGTTTTTAGTGCAATTTCTTAGCAGCTCCGTCTCCTTGTTTCTGAGGGAAGGAAGATTTGTAAACAACAATACAAAAAGGAATGTGAATAATATTATATTTAGTTTCAATCCAAATTCCTAATACTTTATATAAATATAAAGGAGTAATAAGAATTGAATCCTTACCGTTAGCTCCTTAGGCATTGGATGAGGTCTGCTGCTCACTCGGCTGGAAAATGACTCTAGCGGCAGCGCACGTCAAACACGTGTTCCACGACAACACTAGGCTGCCCACAGATGCGCCTGCCTAATAATCGGCTTGATATACTTGGCTATTGGCCGATGCCGATTATGTTAAAAAATGCCAAAAATCGGCCGATTAATCGTCCGACCAATTAATCGGCCGACCTCTATTCCTCACTAAACTTTTCTGCAGGTTTATGGAGAATCTAAGTACTTTTTCTCTCCCTGCTCACCTGCAAGCTAAACTCTTTGGTCCACAAATGTAATGTAACTACGTACAGTGGAAAAGAGTGGTGTACACACGTTGTAAAAAAGGGTTGTAGCTTGGTTAGGTTTAGGAAAAGATTGTCGTTTGGGTTAAAGTAAGTAAAGTTATGTATTTGAAGTCACAGAAGTCAGTAATGCTATTTAACTTGTCATAAAACTCAAAAACTCTACATTTATTTGGTTTCACATGGAACTCCAATGCCGTCTTCCTGTGTGACAGTCAAGGGTTTGACCCACCAACCACCCCATTCAACCTCCTGACACGGACGGTCGCACTTTGGTTGGGTTTAGTCAAAAAAAACTACTCGGCTAGGTTTAGGAAACGTCGTGGTTTGGGTTAAAGTGAGTAAAGTTATGTAAATCACGTGATAATATTAACGCCATTTAATCCGCGGCCTGAAAGTGAACCGCATGCGCAGAGGAATAACACAACGTGACACGCAGCACGCCGTTGCAGGCTGCAGAAGTAAACAAGGAGCAACATGGCTCCAGTTAGCTAGCAGGAGACTCCCGTTTTTCATTGTCCTCACATGGGTCACATTTCTCCCAAAGTATTCACAACTTTCAGTTTGTTTCATTACAGTTTCTGGCGCTGTACAACGCAACTGTGTCCAGTGGACCTCCTCATGAGGTGGTGTCGGACCGGGGCCCACAGTTCATTTCCCGGTATTGGAAAGCCTTCTGTTACCTGATTGGAGCCACTGTGAGCCTGTTTTCTGGTTACCACCCCCAGACCGAGCTCCTGAACCAGGAGCTGGATGTGGGCCTTCGTTGTCTGGTCTCCCGTTGCAGCCGGACCTGGATTCAAGCCCGCCAGGACCTCCTCAGTGCCTCTTCTGCCTACAAGAGGAACGCTGACCGCCACCGGGTCCCAGTGCATCCCTACCACATTGGACAAAGGTTTTGGCTGGCCAGGATCTTCCCCTCCGGGTCGCCTCTTGTAAACTGGCTCCTCGGCCCCTTACCCGTGTCTAAGGTCATCAACCTGGTGGTGGTGCGGCTAAACCTCCCCAGACCATGAGAATCCAGGAGAGGTCCTCGGTCTCGGCCAGCAGCATCCTGGACCCAGCCCTGGTCTGCGATTTCCGCCAGCGGCACCTGCCTGTGAGTTATCTTTGTTAAACAGTCGTCACCCGTGCCTCCTGGAGTCGTGCATTGTGGGTTCATTCCTTTCATGTGGTTACCTTGATAGCATGATGTGAGTGGAAGATCGCCATGGTAACAATTTGTCAATCAGGCCAGAGTGACTTGTACCCTATGTAAATTTAACCAATGACATTAATAAAGCTTATTGGGAGTTGTCTGTTCACTTTCTCTGGTGAGTACATTTAGTTTTAAGCCTGTTTTTCGCTAGCCAAAATTATCAGCCCTGTTAAAACGACTGTTAACGTGAATTAAAGATGCACCTAGCTAAGCAAGCTAGCAAGCGCCACACGGAGCTGTTGGCTCCACGTCTCTTCCAAATATGGTCACGTCTGGTGCCGCTGGTTGCAAAAAATCAACATGGCATAACGGCCAAACTCTAAGCTTCAAAATGGCAGTCCACAAACCAACGGGTGACTACGTCCACTTCTTGTATACAGTCTATTGGTCCACACCACTTTCTTTGTTTTCCATTTTCAGAGCCAGGGCTGTTTAGAAAATCATGATTTTTTTTTTCAGAGTACACTCAAAACGGAGAGCTAGCAAACTGTGAGGAAATATTAGCTACATTTAATAAAAAGTGTATTGGATTACAACCACCTACTTTCCCTTAAACAGACCAGACCAAGGTTGCATCAGGACAATTATGAACATGCTTGGACGCATGGATGGCCACTGCAGAAATAGACAACATTGTGTTTATTAGACACTAATTATCAAAAACTTTATTGTGCTTATGAACATGCACCCTGACAAGTACATTACTGTTAGCCTATTATTTATTTCAGTAACTTAAATAAACATTTATACAAGGGGAAAAAACAGTGGCATCAAAAACTTACAATATTTCAGCACTCCCATTAATTTCTCCCTGTTGCTCCCCCTATTTAAACCCCGCCAAAACACATTGTACTGCTGATGTTTCTATACTTTTCACTTGTATTGTAGTATTTTACATTGTGACATCAATACTTCAGTGAGGGACAAGATTTTCTCCTCTCCAACACACTCCTTTCACTAAGTTTTCATCCTGCTGTTTTCAAATCTACTGGAGATTGAAATGTTTAGTAGGGGACGGGGATTATTCAGTAGTGGATTTTTCTTTGTCTTGGGGTGGGGGGGGGCGAGGGGGGCTCGTCTTTCATTCCCCCTCGGGGAAGACCACATGACCCGGTATAACAGAAAAAGGCAGCAAAGAGAAGACAGGAGGGAAAAAAAGAGAGATTTTGGGCCCCGCTGCTCTGAGCTCTTCAATGAAAACCACATGTAGGACAGAGGGAGGGGCGGGGGTGAGGTGTGTGTGTGTGTGTGTGTGTGTGTGTCTGGGGGGGTGTCAGTGTAATGACTAAAAACCCAGCCTCCGAGAGAAAGAGGAGAGAGTCACTCTGAGCTCCGCTGACATTCCCAGCAAGCATTGCAGGGGAGAAAACTGTGTGATATACAACAACAAAGACAGTGTGTGTGAATCCACTAGAGGAGGCTTTAACAGTGTAACACACACACAACTTTGAGCTTCGGTGAGGCTGCAGGACAGAAAGCTGCCTTCAGTGTTGAGGTGGAAACTGAACCAGAGGAGAAAGTTACTCTCAGCGGCTGGTGTCTGATCTGTTTTGTTTCTAACAGGGGGAAGACAAGAAGAAGAAGAAGAATTAGCAGACGAAGAAACAACGGCAACATGTCCAACGCTCTGCTGAGGAGAAACTCTAGTAAAGAGGGTTTACGAAACCTCATGAGGTATGTGTTCGACCTTTTTTGCTGCTGTTTGTTTCTGTTGTGAGACAGCTCAGGTTAATATTTAATCCACCACACACTTAAAAACACACACTTCATCACACACAGATTCAGTTTAAGATTAGAAAAATTAATCTGAATCTTTATTTGGCTCAGAAGAGACACCAGTAACCTTCTAAAGGGGAATTTACCCTCATCTGGAAGAGTGTTTTCATATTTTGAGTCTGTGTTTGTGTGGTAAACATGTCTGTCTGAATGGGAACAGTGGGATTACTGGGAGTGTTTTTGGGTCATGCAGGATTTTGGGGAGGATTTTGGGGTTTTGAATCGACTTACTTCCACTTAAATGAATGAATCATAATAACAAAGGAACAGGATTCATTCTGCTCAGTAATCTTTTATTATGTTCCTTTTAAAAAACAGTTACACTCATCTTTAATTAGTGGGAAAATAAACTAAATAATGACAGGAAACTTAATTTTCAGTGAAAAGCCAGACTAACTGAGAGGTTTGCGGCGAGCTGGATGCCCGAGGCTTCTCGGTTTCACAGAGAGGGGAAGTGGTGTCGGTGACCTGTATCAGAGGTGAAAGGTCGCCAAAGTCAGTCTTTTGTTTTGTGCCTGATTTCGGGTGTTGGCACATCCTGTCTTTTACAGAAGATATCTTTTTTTTCCCCATCACGTGTCAGGTTCCAGTTTGACTCCTCTGAGTCTAACGTGGGAATTTTGTCTTTTGAGATGGTCATGCGTCAGATGAGTTGATCATAAGAGTGATAAACTCTTGCCGGGACTTGGCAGAGATATACTGCAGATTACACGTTGGACCCCGAACAATCGGAGCGGTCCATCTTTTATGACTTATGTGACATATTGAGGTGATCAGGGACTGACTTTGCTGTTCCACCTCACAGCACCAACAACATTATTTGCTTTCTGGCATTGATAGATTAGAGGGTCAATACTGTCATGACTGTTTTTAAATCTGAAGCTCCAGGTAGCAGCCAGTTACTTTAGATTAGCGGGAAACAAAAGGCTGGAGATAGAGGGAAACTGTAGCCTGGCTATGTTATATCTTGTCAGGTCAATCCGTACTAAACCTCGGCTGAATTTCCAAAATGTCAAACTGTTCCTTTAACATCAGTTGCTCCATTAGAGTTTAGTCTTTTGACTTAATATCCTAGCTTGGTTCCACCTGAAATCTCCCCCCACTACCAGTGATTCAAATATGTCTGCTGTTGTGCTGATTTACGACTGTTAATTGACCAATCGCAGTTTTGTAATTTCGGATTTAAGAATGGGAACATGTTCCATCACAAACGTACCTTTTTTAAATGTTGACTTTAAAGTGCTTGTGAGGTATTTGCAGCTGTACAGGTCAGCATGATAAACGCTAACTGCTCCTATAGCAACCTGTGTGATGACATAAAATGACATCAGTAGGACACGCTTATTTTTTAGTCTGACTTGTCTCTTGTTTTGTTTTTTACTGTGCACTGGGGCCTGAACTCTGAACAGTTCTTCAGACAAACTTCAGAATAGCGATTAAAATGTTTTAAAATCTGGATAAGGAAACTTTAAAATGACTTCATTTGTCATTACGTATAATCACGATGTAGCTGTTGGCAGAACTTGACTGTCCTGTGAACACATCTCTTTAAGTGTTGATCTGTTGGTCCACCACTTTTTAGTTTGTATTTAAATATCTCCGCAACTGTTGGATGAATTATTATTACATTTCGAATAGACATTCATGGTGCCACAACCGGACGACATTAATAATCCCCGCGACCCTTTCACCTAGCACAAACGGCAAGTCAAAGTTTCCACTTGTGCACGGGACTCATGACAGGAGTCCTTTAAAACTAATGAGAGAATTTCAGACAACACTATCACACCATCAGGAATAAAAAACAAGTTTCCAGCCATGACAATTTGTTTTTTTTGTTGGGTCATGTCCCGGACTGATGGCATATTTCCGATTTGTCCTCAGGTCTCTCTTATTTTGAAAATAAGTTTAAGAACGTCATGTCTGGGTCGGTCGTTCTGTTTTAGATCAGGTCCGCCCTGTGAAGACTTCTAGTCTAAACATGGAAAATTATTCTGTTGAAAGAAAAAGATCCAGTCAGGGGGATTTGAACGTAAAACGGAAAGTCATCCCTTTTCAGTGTGACTTTCCACGTTACCCAGAGGAGTTCTTCAGAAAACTGATTCATGGATTTGTCACAGACTGTATTAAAGCCTTGTTGTTTATTGACCTGTGAACCTGGTCGGGGTGTCTCAGTCAGTCTGGAGGTGTTGCAAACAGCGGGCTTGATGTAAACCTCTGAGTCACAGTGAGAGCAGAAGTCCCGCTGTATGTTTATGAAGCAGATAACAGCTGGAGGAGGCAGCCTCTTGCTATGATTCAGTCCACTCAGCAGATGGCATCAGTCTGGCTGACAGCAGCCATTACATCACTCCAAAAACACTCGCACGACGTGGGCATCTTAGCTCAACTGCTTTACATCCATCATCTACGTCAAGACAGCGTGATTCATTCTGCAATTTTTAGGCGTGGATCTTTTAAAGAAGTTTATCCAGACTGTGTTGCATTTGTTGGGTGAAATTCACTTTTAGGGATTCAGAAATATTCATGTGGTGTGGTCGAGTAGGTCATTCAAAGCAATCTCGCCAAAGGTTTGTTTAGTAGGAGTTTTAGAGCTTTTGATCATATCACACTATGTTCTTCAGCAGATGACGTCAACTTTCAGTCTCTCCCTGTTGAGATTGAAAGATCAGTCTGCAGCTGCATATTTTTAGGTTGTTTTAAACCTTTTAATTGACCCATGTCTGGTTAATAATATGAAGTTACAGTGAGATAATCCAGGGGAAAATGAATTGAATGATTCGCCTACTTTTTCAAGACTTTTGGTAAAAATGATTAAAATAAGGAGAAATACGCATTTATTTGTATGAATTTCACTTAATGGCACTTTAACAGTGGCAGCTTAATCTGATTCCAGCTGTGAAACAAAACGCATTTACTCAAGTACAATTGTGAGGTATTTGTGCTTTTCTTGAGGATTTACACTTTCTAATATGTTATGCTTCTCCTCTTGTAGATTTATTTCACAGCTATAGTTACTTTCCAGATTAGATTGATTTTCACGTCCTTTTAGCTTTGATGGTTTGTCGCGCTTCATTTATTTGTGCTCATTTTGTTCCACCTGTCTGTTGAATTGTCTCTGTTTTCTCTGTATACTGGCATTAAACGGCTGGTTCGTATACTCAAGAAATGCATCACTTTAGTCGCCACCACCTTTCTTTTGTTGTGAAAACATTTTTGGTCATGGCCAAGCTGCCTGACCAGTTTTGTTGTCTGTTACAGGTTGGTGCTGAACATTGCCAACTAAAGTTTGTCTTGCCACCAACAAGGATCATTGGCTGTTTTTCAAACTGTTAGCGCTGTTTTCAGTGAAAGATATTTCCATATTTACCTCCCAGACTTTACAGTATTTTGCTGTAAAATCACACAAACTTTAGATACAAACTGAACATCAGTTTGTGAGTAACATCATAAGAAAGTGGCGCCGACTCGAGTCTAAAAGGTGGTGTTATCGGACTGTGTGCCTTTCATCATAGCGGGCTAAGGCAGGCATACAGCAGGGCTGTTTTTAATCAGCTCTTTGTGGGGGACAAACGCCCCTTTGGCCCAGCCTAGCCCATCCCCCAGTGGTGATGTCATTCAGGAGGCATACCTGCTTCAAAAACAACTAACTGATGCGACCTCTGACCCCAGATTCCCCCACACATGGGTGGGTGTCCTCAATGTTTACGAAACGAGGAGATAAGAGACTGAGGAATGTTTTTGGTTGGCTGATGAGTGATGGGGGAGCTGAACTCTCCCTCCCTCCGCAGGTTGTCTGCATTAAAGGGACAGGGGGAAAGTAAACAGAGTGGGGTTTCCTGTTTCCAGGAGTCCTATCTGTGAGAGCCGATGATAGTTTTTTTTTTTTGTCTCACCTCAGTGACCATCAGTAAGATGACGTGATTAAAACACTGCTTCTTTCTGAGATCGCTTTTTCCAACAAATTTGACAATATTTCTCCAGGGAGTGCAGTAATAGACAGTGGCAGCGCCAACAGTTTGTCAGACTTAGCAACAGTAACCAGGGGGGGGGGGGCTTAGCGAAGGGTCAATTGGTCGGAGATTCAGATGTTATGTGTGCAGCAGCTAATATAGCCCGAAAGCCTGTAGACTGCAGCAGAGATGAGGAGCGGGCTAAAGAGGTCTGGTGAGCTCACTTTCTTTCCAACTCCCAACCAAGTAAGAACCTCTAGGTCTGAAAGGTGAAGCCAATGTGAAAGTGCCTTAAACCTGCGTTCTTTCTAATGCAAAAATAAGTCAGATTGAATAAAAGTCTATGAGAAAATTACCACTTCTCAGTAAACACTTTCCTAATGAGTTTGTCTCCGTCGCTAGTTTCAAGTGTTCTTAAATACAGCATGATGTTCCATAATTTTGTAAATTATGGTCCCATTTAGAGGAAAATAGACGATAAGGTAGGGTAAGCTTTAGGGCGGGGCTACCTTGTGATTGACAAGTCGCTACTATGTCGTGTTCCTTCCTGCTCCACCCTCTGGTCCAAATACGGTCAATTCTGGTTCCAAAAAAAACAAGACAACGACGGCCAAATTGCCACAACTCAAGGTTTCAAAACGGTAGTCCACAAACCAATGGGATGACGTCACTTGAGGACATTTATCAGACATACAGCTCCTTCTGGAGAACCTCTAGTAATGTCCAATTATATTGATTGTGTGTGTTCTTAATTTAAAAATCTCATAGTTAATGTTTGTTTATTAAGAGGTCATTAGTGCTTAGTTGCTGCTGCTTGTTTGAGAGTTAGAAACAGGAAAGTCACAGCAGCAACTGAATATAACACAGTAAGTTTCTTCTATTATACTGAAGGGAGGGTATGGTTTAATTCAAGGCACCAACTATATTCATTTATAGGAACAAATT